GTGTCAGAAGAATTCACACCAGGGAATGTTGTCAATGCGCAATTAGCGTGATGTTGACTCAGTCATTGTTTGTGGACCATCAAGGTTGTAAGAGTAATCAGGCATGAGAGAGAGAGAGAGAGAGAGAGAGAGAGAGAGAGAGAGAGAGAGAGAGAGAGAGAGAGAGAGAGAGAGAGAGAGAGAGAGAGAGAGAGAGAGAGAGAGAGAGAGAGAGAGAGAGAGAGAGAGAGAGAGAGAGAGAGAGAGAGAGAGAGAGAGAGAGAGAGAGAGAGAGAGAGAGAGAGAGAGAGAGAGAGAGAGAGAGAGAGAGAGACCTGACTATAAATCCATCCATGTATCACAGTCATGTGTCTGTCTGGTTATTGCATCTATTGTCATCTTTTTTTTTTTCAAAACTCAGATATCAAAACTCAAGCAGGCTTTACAACTAATTTATAATGTATTTATTATATTCATAAATCAGTAATGTGTAAATGGTTTTACTTTGTATGGTGCATTAACAAAGAAATAATACTATGATTTATTAATGAAAGTTGAGTCTTTTTGATATAAAATAAATAAAAATATGCATGTTAATGGCACTAGATAAATAAAAAGAATGCATTCCACTTAATCCAACTTTTCAAATGAATGTAGTGCTGAACTTCTGTTTTATTAATATTTTTGTATAAAATTTCTTCTTCATGTTTTTGATCATGACATTCAGCAAAAAAATAATTAAAAATTTAATTGTTGCCATCTTACATCCATTTGTATTGTTAAAAATTGGAAGCAGGTCTATTTTTAAAGACACACACAAGGAGAAAATGTCTTTCTTTCCTGACATAAAAGCCAGCAAAGTACACAGTGGAGTATTTGCCCAAATCTGCTAGTTGGCTTGAAATATCTCTTATTATAAGTCTTTCTTTGCTCCTGCTGAGCTAAGTAAAACACTTTAAAGCATGCATCAGGCTTTGGAAGAACAATTGGACCACACTGTCCATGATTTTCAGTGCATGTGACTGATTTTTTCAGTGTCCTTGGTAAGGTCAACTGTTTGCTCCAGGACAAGGAGCGTAAAATATATTATTCAGAAGCTTGTGCAAATCTAACATTCCAGGTAGAGAATCAAATGTATGACCGTGCTGTTTGCTTTAGGACTACCTGAACAGGAAAGGCTTACTGCGTTGAGATTTGTTGGAACGTTAGGCAGAGAAAGAGACTATCGTTCTTTTATAAAGCTCAGTTTTGTAACGCCATGTAACTGTCTTTGCATAGCAATGCATCAGTAAGAAGAGTATGTAACAAAAGCTTTCCATATTGGACGGATACATTTCCTGTCAGACCTTTCAACTAATTGTTCTATGTTGGTAAATTATAGAAATACTTTCATTTGGGTCAACACCTGACAATAATCACCAGTGCAATCTAAAACAATTTTGCAGGATCCAATGCAATTCCTTAGTACTTGCTATTTGTGGTAAATTATTAGAATAACTAAGTTTCTGTAGAAATCACTGAGTTCTGTTTGCAGAGATTTATTTGCTGTGGCAGCCATCTTGAGTGAGGTTGATACCAACAATTATAATTCTCTTAAAGCTTTATTAAGATCTATTCAGTGTTCCATCAGATCTTTAGTTCTCAGATAGAACTGACCACAACAGATATGGGAAAAGTTTTAAGGAAGAGCTCGTGTAATCAAATTGTGTTCAAACAATCTGATGGGGAGAACTTTAAGCTGCCCTTGCACTAAATTTCAATTTGAAACCTGAACAAATGACTAGATTGTAGTCATTTTTGTATTTTCCAAGGTTGCTTTGCTATTTCTGCCACAGTGAATAAAGTTGTCTCCAATAGTTGATCAGTTATATTCCTGATGACTGGTTCACAAGTTACTTTGCTAACAGACAAACACACTAACACATACACGTTAAAATATGTAAATTGTCTGTCAAAAGCAATACTTGCTTAGTTAAAACTCTCAGAAAACAGGAAGCTCTGAATGTCTTCTGTGACCAAGTTTGGCTCCAGTCCAGTAAACAAATACATCAACTCAGAAAATACTGAAAGATACAAGTGGTACCAAAATAGAATCTGCTTACACATGGGGAGCTGTACCACTACGAATACAAACATCATGGGAGTAACAATACTGAGCACTGCTTACACTATTGATAGCCTCTGAAATACAAGAACCAACCATCAATTTAAAAAAAGGATATGGTGGCAAACTGCTCATACCAAATCACATCTGCCCAGACTAACAGGCTCTGTGCACTTCTACACCAGCAGGTACAGGTAATTGTTGCAGCTTTATTAGAAAGCACTGCTGAAGCACTGGTCCAATAAGGCGCGTAAGGAAACAGCAAAGGTGGAAAAAGCAAGAAAGGCAAGCAGCAATACATTTGTTAAATCTTCACAAGCAAAAGTAAAAAAAGGTCAAAAGGAAAAACTCTGGATAGTTCGCCAAGACATTTCAGGGTCAATATAGAGATAGAAAATCTCTAAATGTAACAAAAAAAAGCCAGTTGTTCTAACCTGTAGGGGGTGCTCTTGTTGTGAAAAGAACTAATGAACAACATACAACCCTCCTATTTAAAGGTGCAATATGTAAGAATGACATCATGTGGTCACTGGTTGCTGCAGTCTTTTTCTAAACCTAAAGTTACTCTCACTACCGTTTCATGAGTTTCGTGGATGATGCCAGTTATGGATCAGCACCAGAAGATTCTAGATGACAAAAATGAGTCATACACAGTAAGTTGATAAGTAAATAAATACATGGCCATATTTGGTGTTAGCACTCCTGAGTGTTTTTTGGTAAGAAGCACTTACTACACTTATTACGGTGAGATTTCTCAGGCATCAGAGGAAGTGTGGTTGTTTCCCGCCTTGCTGTTAGCTTGTTTTAATAGCTCAGAACAGCGTATTAGAGGAAGTAAAACACCACGATTGACTTATTCACTTCACACATAAAGAAAGAAAATGATCTTTTATATAACGCCTGTCAAGATAAAAATATCACGAGGTGCTTCACAAAAAAAATGAAAGTATAAAAAAGATTTTTTAAAATGATTAAAAATATGTTTCAAATGAGAGAAAATTATAAAAATTGTGATTAAAAATTTTATAATGTAAGGAAAGGGAGAGAGAAAATGAATTCTTCTTCTGGCAGACACTTTTTTCTCCTCTCCCTCCTTATCCCAAGGCTCTTTGTCCTGTCTGTGCACAGCGCTTTCTGCATTTTGTCTGGAAACTGGAAATCATTAAAAATGGATCTGGTCAGTTGGTCTCTCAACGCGATTGACAAAATTTTATCAACGATGAGAATGGGAGAAGGGGCTCTCAGATGCCCCTCTGGGACAGAGCCAGTTGGGTATATCATGGACTCCTGGAAACAGTGAAACTTGATATGCCTGTCTCAACTGTCTGTAGAGGATTCTGAAGATGTTTGGATATTCGTCGTTTTGGTGTCAGGATTCCTGCTGTTTGGCCTGAGCGGTTACCTGGCTTGCCGGAAAATTAACGAGCTTTCGAGGAATATTGGCTCAATCCCGAAGCTCAGGGATGGAATGCATCATACTGTGAACGCCAAACTCATATAGTTATCGAGATAAGTCGTAAGCTTGGAACTTTGGCTGAGATTCAGGTTCTGGCACGAAAGGTGGATACCATCAAGGAGCGAGTGGACGGATCAGAACAGATTGGGATAGATTAATTACGCCATTATTGGATCTAGAGATGTTGTGGACCAACAGAACACTCAGGCAGAGAGGAAATTCTCTGTCTGTCCCCAAAACAATTTTTGTCTGAATCTGGTTCCCTGGGAGCCTGTGAGGCTGATGTGATAAGTCCCCCCTCAGAAGAAATGTGGAATGCTGTCGTGGCTATGGAAACTCTTTCTCCCTATCCCAGCCTGGGTGGGACTGTAACCGGTGAAGGCCGTGGAACCGTATGTAGGAGTCACTGTGCTGTCTAACCCATTATCTCCCTCCCCTGTCCAAATGGAGGTGTTGAGCGCTGCCCCATGCAGCTAAACACACTGAAATGAGGAGAGTCCCAACCCTACCTCCCCACCTAGTGGACACTTATAAAGTGTAATGTCTGAAGTCTGTGTGCATATCTGTCTGAGGTGTTTTGCATAGCAAAGCTGCCCTGTCTGTGGAGGGTAACTCTGAAGTGCCTCCCCCCCCCGATTCTATCCTCATATAAACCCTCTTGATCTATTACGGTAGTGCGACTCGGGTTGCGAATGAACACAGTTACCAATTCTTGTCATGTGTCGATGTATGTATGTCTGATCTTGTCAGGATCTGCTCCGACCCCCCTGACTCTTGGCCCCATCTACCCCTAATTAGTTGCTTACTGGACTCACCTGCCCCTTGTTACTCTGCCCATGTGTTCCTGATTATCCTTGTGTATTTACACCCCCTGTTCGGCACTTGTCCCTTGTCTGATCATTGTTGTGTCTCCACCCTGTTACGTTGCTCCTGCTGTATCCTACCTGCCAGTACTCATTAAATGCATTTTATTTTTACCTGAGCTGCATTTCTGCCTCCTGGTCCAGCTCCACCACACATGGTCTGCCTCCACCCACACTGGACCGTGACAGAATGATCCAACCAAACCTGGACCTGTGGTGAGCTTTAACACCTGCCTGGAGGATTTATTTATTTTTGCTTTGTCTCCAGTCCAGCTGAAGGAGTTCTGTTTCAGGGGTTTCGGCGCATCCTAGCTGTTCCTGGGTGGTCAAACCCATTCTCCTCTCCTGCTGTCCGCCCTGTCATGTTTTTGCACGGAAGCTGCAGAAGTCCTGGCTTATTAGTGGAGTAAACCCCCTATGCACACCAACGTTCGCAGAGTGGTTGGGCTCGTCTCCCCGCTCCTCTTCTGCTTTCCTTCACCTGAGCCTCTGCCTGTGGTTCCAGCGTATAATGATGTTCACCTGCTCTGACCGACTTGTACCTGCCGCCGATCCTGGTTTCCTCGTTCTGCTCCTCTACAGTACAGCAACTCTCCGGCTATCTCCAGATCTCCTCTGGATCTACATCTTCCGGTCCAGCCTCTCCAAGATGCTCCAGTCCTGCCTGTCCTAGAGGCTCCACCTCCGGAGTCATGCCTGCAGGGTCTACGCCTGCAGGGTGTTCGTCTTCAGAGTCTCCAGTGTCCTCGTCTTCAGAGTCTCCACTGTCCTCATCTTCAGAGTCACCAGTGTCCTCGTCTTCAGAGTCTCCAGTGTCCTCGTCTTTGGAGTCTCCGCTGCAGCCTCGTCCAGAGTCTCCGCTGCAGCCTCGTCCAGTCTCCGCTGCAGCCTCGTCCAGAGTCTTTGCTGCAGCCTCGTCCAGAGTCTTCGCTGCAGCCTTGTCCAGAGTCTTTGCCGCAGCCTCCTCCAGCCGAGACATAGTCTTCAGAGTTCCCGCATCTTCGTCCCGAGTTTTCAGAGTTCCGTTCCCGCATCTTCATCCCGAGTCTTCAGTATCTGACTGGTATGATGTAACTGTCCCAGAAATGAAAGTGTTCATTGCCGTTCAGTTCTGCATGGGGCTTGTGGAAAAGCCTGAGATTGAGGATTTTATATATATATATATATATATATATATATATATATGTGTGTGTGTGTGTGTGTGTGTGTGTGTGTATATGTATATAAAATAATTATAAACAAAATAAACCAAAGAAGGGATGAGTGAAATGTGTTCATGACACTGAAGCACCAAAAACAGTGTTCTTGATTGATACGCAGTAAACATAACAAAATACCAATAAAGTAATAAATATTATATATATACATACATAGTTATATATGTCTACATAGGAATATGTATATATGTATCATAAAAAATAACAACACTAAGAAAATAAGACAAAAACAGAAAAAAACAACAAAAATCTGCAAATGTGATGCAATCCAATATGGATGCCACCTGATGGCGTCATAATATGCAAATTATGTGAGTGAATTTGTTCCTGTCAGAAAATTTGGCTCATACTGAAGATTTTTCTAATTTACAATATTCCTCTATCTATAACCAGATTTAAGCTACAAGCTCTTTAAATAGTGATATAAAAAATTCACATTTTACTAAAAAAAACGATGGCGCCCAAAGGGTTAACATCTCCTTCCAATTTGTCCATCGACTGACCGGACCCCATGATTACTACTTTCACAAACTGTCTTTATCTTAACCAGCCTGCTTAATTTGTCTTATTCAGTGTTCTACGTAAGAAATGAGCAGGTAAATAACCAAGAACTTCTAAAACCAATAGCACAGCAAAGACCACCACTATAAGGAAGAAGAGAATAACAAGCATGCAAATTTTCTGATGTTCAGCATTGGATCGTTGATTACTTCTCATTTTCATAGGCGACTTTTATTAGGTACCTTTTTTTTAATTAATTAATGCAATGGCGATCTGAAATATAAACGTCATTGGGACAAACACTGTCAGCATTTAGACCCAGGGTAAAAACAAGGTCTAGAGTGTGCCCCCTGGTGTGTGTGGGGCCAGAAACATGCTGGGTAAAGCTGAAGGAGTCCATGAGGCTGGAGAAAGTCATGGCAAAGTGGGCTGAGGGATCGTCAACATGGATGTTAAAATCACCAACAATCACCAGTCTTGACAGTTCACAGTGGAGGATAGAAAGTCACTAAACTCCTGAAGGAAAGAACTGTTTGGATCAAGTGGACAATAAACCGCAGCACAGTAGAACGTGTCGTTATGCCTAACTTTAATCAGCTGCAGTTCAAAAGAAGCAAGGCGACCAGAGGTTGTAGAGCTACATGGAAAATGGCCTCTAAAAACAATAGCTTGGCCTCTACCTCCATCTCAGACAGAAGCAAAGTGGAAAGGAGGAGGTTAGTAGAGAAAAGTTTGAAAAAGTTGCCGGTGACCACGGCTAAACCAAGCACAGGTGCCATCTTGTTACCGACCTTGAAGTGGAAAACCAAAGCAGAACACACATTTCACTGTAATATCAAACTCGATTACCAATAACTATTGGTAATTGCTTCTAAATCATCGTTAGCATTGTTAGCTCAAAGTTAGCCTGTAGCATGCTTCATCCAATACTAGAGTAAAGCAACAAGATGCCTTGACTACTTGAAGAACAAGAAATAACTTCAGGGTCACTCCTGTTTACTGGCTTTTGTTCTCTGGAGCTTTTTGCCTGCTGGCGTCAAATTACAAATGCTGACGCAGCAGCATTAGCTTGGCGCAAACTCTGCAAACTCACATAATGTGTACAGTGACTATGTCCCTGTTTCGTTTATTTTATTTTTTTATTTTTTTTATTTTAAGGAGAAGAACTGACAACCCCCCACCCCAACCAGCTTAGAAGAAAATCTGTTTCAATGTAACCTTCCTGCCAACATGATTGAAAGTTTAACACAATTCACTTGTCAGAAGGACTCATTTTGGCCCGACTGGGGAGCAGAAAAAAGGAAAAGAAAGTGGGTTACACATTCACACTGCACTGTGATCCAAGTCCAAGTGGAATAAAGCTCTTCATGAATCATGTAGACACTCTTGATGCCAAGCTCTACTCTGCATACAACATGCGACAGTAATCGTGTCTTTGTAGAGGGAGTCCTGATGGATATTTATTTACTGCGCATTTGTTCATGTGCCCAATTCTTCACACAACGTATCCTTTTTTGCTCCTTAAAATCTTTTTTCTGCAGTGTGAAGCTTAGTCTACAGGTGCTGGCCAGTAAATTAGAATATCATCAAAAGGTTGAAAATATTTCAGTAATTCCATTCAAAACGTGAAACTTGTACATTATATTCATGCAATGCACACAGACCAATGTATTTCCAATGTTCATTACATTTAAATTTGATATTCATAAGTGACAACTAATGAAAACTCCAAATGTGGTATCTCAGAAAATTAGAATATTCTAAAGGCCAATGAAAAAATGTTTGTTTCTCTAATGTTGGCCAACTGAAAAGAATGAACATGAAAAGAATGTGCATGTATAGCACTCAATACTTAGTCGGGGCTCCTTTTGCCTCAATAACTGCAGTAATGCGGCGTGGCATGGACTCGATCAGTCTGTGGCACTGCTCAGGTGTTATGAGAGCCCAGGTTGCTCTGATAGTCGTCTTCAGCTCCTCTGCATTGTTGGGTCTAGCGTATTGCATCCTCCGCTTCACAATACCCCATAGATTTTCTATGGGGTTAAGGTCAGGCGAGTTTGCTGGCCAATCAAGGACAGGGATACCATGGTCCTTGAACCAGGTGCTGGTGGTTTTGGCACTGTGTGCAGGTGCCAAGTCCTGTTGAAAGGTGAAGTCTGCATCCCCATAAAGTTGGTCAGCAGCAGGAAGCATGAAGTGCTCTAAAACTTCCTGGTAGACGGCTGCATTGACCCTGGACCTCAGGAACCAGAGTGGGCCAACACCGGCAGATGACATGGCACCCCACACCATCACTGACGGTGGAAACTTTACACTGGACCTCATGCAACGTGGATTCTGTGCTTCTCCGCTCTTCCTCCAGACTCTGGGTCCTTGATTTCCAAAGGAAATGCAGAACTTGCTTTCATCAGAAAACATAACTTTGGACCACTCAGCATCAGTCCAGTCCTTTTTGTCCTTGGCCCAGGCGAGACGCTTCTTGCGCTGTTTCTTGTTCAAGAGTGGCTTGACACACGGAATGCGACACCTGAATCCCATGTCTTTCATGAGTCTCCTCGTGGTGGTTCTTGAAGCGCTGACTCCAGCTGCAGTCCACTCTTTGTGGATCTCCCCCACATTTTTGAATGGGTTTGTCGTCACAATTCTCTGCAGGGTGCGGTTATCCCTAGAGCTTGTACACTTTTTTCTACCACATTTTTTCCGTCCCTTCGCCTGTCTGTTAATGTGCTTGGACACAGAGCTCTGCGAACAGCCAGCTTCTTTAGCAATCACCTTTTGTGTCTTGCCCTCCTTGTGCAAGGTGTCAATGATTGTCTTTTGGACAGCTGTTAAGTCAGAAGTCTTCCCCATGATTGTGGTGCCTTCAAAACAAGACTGAGGGACCTTTTAAAGGCCTTTGCAGGTGTTTTGAGTAAATCAGCTGATTAGAGTGGCAGCAGGTGTCTTCTATATTCAGCCTTTTCAGAATATTCTAATTTTTTGAGATACCAAATTTGGAGTTTTCATTAGTTGTCACTTATGAATATCAAATTTAAATGTAATGAACATTGGAAATACATTGGTCTGTGTGCATTGCATGAATATAATGTACAAGTTTCACGTTTTGAATGGAATTACTGAAATATTTTCAACCTTTTGATGATATTCTAATTTACTGGCCAGCACCTGTATACTAGGGGTTGCATGACTTAATTTTTTTTAAAGTCGACAGTCAAGTAATGAAAATCGAGTCGACTTCGACTAGTCGTTGATGACATCATTCACCTGAAGCGGCGGCGGCGGGGGGGTCGGTTGGTTCGCTGGAGTTTTTGACAATTAAAATTGCGCCCACATTTTCAAAGTTAAACACATCTCTTTTAACAACGGTAGTTTCTGCATATATATATATATATATATACATACTGTTCTTGCTTCAGCCCTCTCCCCCCTCCCCCTGCGCAGCGGCCGCAAACTCACTGATGCGCCTGCAGCCTCTCAGAGTTCCTGCAGCTCTAAACATTAAAATAATTATTTCATTTTCTGTTTCTCACTTCTGATTACCTTCAATGGTGTCTGTTTGTTACATCCACCATGTACCAAAACTAACTTGTTTTTATTTGACTATTTTTCTGTCCTGTCTGTTTATTATCTTCCTGCATCTCCTCTCAATCCTAAAGAGAAACTGCTACCTGGGTTCATATATATTCACCTCATGAGTTACCTTTGAACTGCAGTTCTAAAAGATCCACCGACCGCAAAAACAGCGGAGTGCGAGCTGCTCGCCGGCCGCAGTGCGTCACCGGAGGACAAAACAGATGATGCACCCCGCTCCGCAGCAGCGGGGTGCATCAGGCAAAAATAAAAGACAGAAAACATAAAAGGAAATGAGCCGACATGAATGATCGCGTTACATTTGTTTTTGAGTGGTGACACCTGATTTGATAATGTTACTGTGGCCGTGCTCAGGACGCAGATGTCTGGAGCGCATCAACGATCAGAGCTTTGCATGCACAAGCTGGTTAAGGTTAGGATGGGGTGAGGGGAAGGTTAAATTGCAAGAGGGAAAAGGTCACAATTTGGTTAAATGTCCGTTTTACGGCGGGTGTCAGTACCGACACTCTGGCACAGTGCGCCGCCTCTGCCTCGATCCAGACACGAAGGAGCTCGTCACCTGCTGTCTTTTCCGAGGACTGCATCTTGTCATTATCACGTGACAGCGACTAGTGGATGACAGGCTTAAAAAGTCACTACAGAGCAGTGAGGTCGACTAGTCGACTAGTTC